TTATTCTTTATTCTAATGAAATATTGAATCAAAAATGCTTACATAATTAGAGCCATAGCCTATTTGAACACTGTATATTATCTATTTGAGTCACCAAGCTCATTTTTCTCGTAAACGCAAGTTCATATGGTTTCTCGTAAATAGAAGCTGATACTTTATAATATTTTACAAGTTCTTTTGACCGACAACAAAAATACTATGCAATGTGATTATGAGTGTGATTTATACTACACCTCCAAAGCTTCACTCCTACTCGAGAAAAGTGGACAAGCTACCAGTGGGTAAGATCAGTCCCCAAGTTCAGAGCTCAGCAAGTTACATTTGGGTATCAAAAAGCTAAATGCAGTGAAACAAACGGATCTCATTGCCCTGATCCCAGAAAAACTCTGATTCGGCAGCATTGGGTAAGACGAGTACGGAGAGGTTGCTAACATTTCAGGGCCATCCTAAGCTGCCTCAATCGCAAAGGACTAAAGTGACGATATGTACCTACAGTGTACGCCCATTTGCATCTGAGTCTTCGAAAGAAGATTTCATCATGCAAGCAAGAAGGATAAGGTACGACGTCATCGGACTGGCCAAGACGAGACCACGCCACCCATTCAACGCCGTCTATGGCAATGGAGAAGAACTGTTTCTTGTTACATGCGAACAATGGAGGTATCGGCGGTTCCGGCGTTCTCGTCAACACGAGTTTGTCCGTGAGCATCGATTTATTCGAACAACTTACAACCTGAATCGGACGTTTACAATTAAAAAGATGTGGATCAATTTCGCTTTGACGATCTTCGTCGTTTACACGCCGACATCAAACTATGAGGAAGGAAAAGTTGGACCGCTCTCTATGGGCATGGGGAGAATCTATAGAGAAGACCATACATTCTCCAAGGTCATAACGAGTGATTTTAACACTAAGACAGGACCTAAAGCAACGTTTGAAGAATGTCACATTGGAACCAGCATATTAGAATCAAACGAGCTAGTGAACCGCTGTCTGAGTTTACCATGGCGACCGAAACCATCCATCTCGGAAATCGAGAAGCTCCACCCTCAAACCTGCATGTGGGGTTTCCGTATGGAGAGTACCATAGCGATGTCAACCTCATCATAAGCAAATCCATAGTTGTGCCTAACTAATTTCGCTGTTACCCCAAAATTCTATACGAGATCAGACCATCTCCTCCTTCGAGCAAGATCCGATTTCCAGCGGAAAGGAGAAAAAGCCACTAAATTCAAGAAAACGAGGTCTCAAAACTGCCATAAATTGGGATTTATTTAGTTCATTAGTCAACTGCTGGAAAGACGCCGTTCTCATTGACTTTGGCAAGGATTACGATTGGATCATTCAATACCTTCAAGTTAGCACTATAAAAGATGAGAGTTCGAAAATCGCCAAGAGACGTCTGTTTTCAGAAGCAGTCGAGCTGATCCACGCCAGTGTGGAATCGCACGAGCTGCAGGGAACCGGCCAACTCATGCTCGAACACGCAAGACAATGCAGATAGATGATAAAAGAAGATCTTAAAGAAAGAAAAATAGCAGTTATGGTCAAAGTAGCAGAGACTGGGAAAAGCATTAGCAAAGCCCACCGAAGCTTCGCCAATCACAAGACCAAAATGACTGCACTTCGGCGTCCAGACGGAACAGTTTCGGCGTCCACAAATGCAATGTAGAGAATTTTTCACGATTACCACTCAGATCTCTTCAATAGCCACGTCTTCCCGCTATCATATCAAACAAAGGAGTATGGATATGTCGCACTGTCGGTTCTCCCTTTCGAAATCAAATTTGCTGTTTCGCCAGTAAAAAGTCGAACAGCACCAAACCCGGACAGGAAAAGATCTGAACACCTGAAGAACGTACCAACAGTCTTCGTAAGCCCACTGGCTCCGCTTTTCACGCGTTACCTGTTTGAATGCAAGGTCACTACTCAGTGGAAGAACAGCAAGACAGTGCTACTACTCAAGAAGGCTGACCTCCACGATGTTAGCAACTATCGCCCAATGTACTTGATGTTTGCCGTTTACAAACTTTTCGCTTTAGTCATCCTAAACCCAACTGATAGAACACTGGCTGAAGGACAGATATGTCAGCAAACGGAGCTTCGAAAAGGATTCAATACGAAAGGACCACATGTACACGGTAAGGAAGCTCATTGAAGTATCGCGACGGTACAAAAGACCACTCCACTTCACTTTCATTGATCTAAAGAAAGCTTAGTTGAGATAGTTTCTGCTCTGTATATAAAGATTCTTTGTCAACTGTATAAAAATTACACAACTAACAGCATTCTACAACTATATTAATGTCAAAACGTCGACGTCAAAACAGCGGTTAGGCAAGTGATACCATCTTGCCAAAATTATTTACCGCCACCCTCCAGAACGTCATGCAAACATTGGAATGGGATAATGTGGAGTGAAAGTCGATGGCCGGTAATTACACTATTTTCACTTTGCTGATGACATCGATCTTATAGCACCAAAGATTGGCTAGGAAGAACGAATGATTGACGATTTTGCTAAAGCCTGTGGAAAAATTGGCCATGGCGTAAACCTTACAAAAACGATGTTCATAAGGAGCGGATTGGTTACATATGCCGCATTTGCGTTCAACGGAATGAATATCTCCTGTTGCTCCAGTAAAGTCTATCTAGGTCAAGAAATCAATATGATGAACGACTTAGCTCCAGAGTTGAGCAGGTGGAAATGAGCGGCTTGCTGATCCTTACTGCATCGAGGATACAGTGAAGAAAACAAAGAATACCCGACTGGAAGAAAGGTACGATGCCCAATGAGCTGCTAGAGCTAACTGTACCCACTGGGCCACTGTTCCACGCTACAGGGAAAACGGATATTTTGCTGGTGCCCGCCCGAGTCAGTCGACGATCAAGGAGTACTGGTGATGCTGACGATGTACAGCTTCAGCTTCACTGGGTTCAGTTCCGACTTGTACTCCGCAGATCATTCCCGTTGACGGGTGATTGTTGATAGCTCCTATAGGTATGAACACGTCTGAGAGAAAGCCCAAATGAAGGACACGCATGGTGGGGTGGTGAACGCGTTAGCCACAGGCTCATACTGCCTGTAGTTTTGTAAATATTTCGTCATCATTGTAGTTCTACTAGGCAATATCCATTCATTTTTACTTGATTCCATATGTCTTTCCTTTGATTCTACTGTGGTGATCCTCGCATTTATAACCAACAGTTCGTTTCCTCGAATCCATCATCTTGGAAAATCTTCGAACATCTATTTCACGTGGCTTCGACTGATACTTCAACAATTCCCTCATTGTGACTCGTTGAGAAATAATCGCAACGATTCTTGCTAGAGTCCTGGGATAGCAACGCTATTGCGCTCGAAAGTGGAAAAAGCGAACGAGCTGACCAACTCTTGTATCAATTTCGAAATCCTGGAGGGATGGGAGTGAATATGTGGGTGGGGGTCGAGCCATCATCGTGATTGCGATGAACGTCACTGCTAGCATTCTGCTATCCGCGCCTATTAGACAACATTACGCCATCGAATATATTAATATAACATGAACTATACTTATCCAAATTTCTTATGAAAACATGAAATATTTCATTCATTTCTTAAACTACTTCTTCAGCTATACATGGGCACACCAATCGTTTGTTGGACACCGGCCGAGTTCAGGGGAGGTTCGTATGAATCAGATTTGCTATGAATACTTAAAAGTTTTTTAAGATTTGTTTTTGCTATTTTACACAAATGAGCAGGTAACTCAGTGGTAGAGATCCTGTTCATTAGGCGGACAGCTCAACCTACCTAGGCCCTATTTCGACACCGCAGTGTGTCTACCAAGCTTCCCATTCTTCTGGAGACAGGAAATTGGAAAGAGAATTGTCAAGGGCAGGCTAACTCCCTCCACTCCGCGCTGGAACGCCCGAGCACGGCTATATCGGGAGTAAAGGAAAAGTGAACTCAATCAGTGTTCAACGACATTCGTAACGAAGACAAAAAATCCCTCAACCAGCAGCCGAGGTCACGCACAAAAAAAGTTCGAAGACCTTTGCGGATTTTAGTGCGAGGAAGTGGTTACACTGCAAATAGTGCTGGGTTTTGCAGCGTGTGGTACATGTGACGTCAAGTCATGTAATGTATCTATAGTAAAAAAAACTTTTTTTTACGCAAAACTTGACGTCACAGGTGGTGCGGTTCCTACACTTCTTTCCTTCTTGTTTCTTGGCATCCATCGTCCACGAATTCCCTGGGATTTCATATCAAGTTTGAGTGTTTTGGATTCTTCATGAATCTCGTTGAGAGCTGATTGAGTGGATTATCACTGTAATTCTAAGACAGTCGTTCAGCGGCGTTATTATAAGTAGTTGTCAGCTTTTCTGTATTCCATGAACCGAGTTGATACCAAACATTTATTTATGAGATCTTATAAACTGATCTTCTTAAGCTGACGCGAGGTTGGTACAGATCTTCGTTGTCGTTGTCGTTGTTTTTGATGTTATTGATCGATGGCTGACGTTTCGGCGACTTCGCCTTCCTCAGAGCCGTGATG